CCGCCGCCAACCTCCCGCTCTCCTCCCCGCCGTTAACGGGGGAACCGCCGCCGAGGCCGGCGGGAGGACCGAGCCGCCATTCCGGGTGAGGGGAAGGGCCGGGCCCCGGGGCCGCCCCGCACCTACCGCCGTATCCCTGCTCCATCGCTCCCCCTCCGCCTCCGGCTCAGCAGCAGCGGCGCCGCACTGCCCGCCCGAGCGCCCGCTGCGCAAGCGCGCCGCTCCCGCCTCCCATTGGGCCCCGCCGCCGCTTTGGCCCGCCCACGAAGCTCTCCATTGGCCGCGCTCCAGAAGCTCGTCCCCGCCGTCGCTATTGGCCGATCTCGTCGAGAGGCGCGACCCTCCCGCCTCTCCTATTGGTCAGCGCTCCCCTGCCGGCATCGATCCCCCGATTCTATTGGCGGAGGCCCTTCCTCCGTGGGCCGACGCCGGGGCTCCCTCCTGTCAATCACAGCCATTCCCTCTCCTGATTGGGCGGCGGCGCAGGGCTCTGTCCTTCACGGTGCATGATGGGGGCGGCGGGGCTCACCACAGAGCGGGCCTTCACCCCTCACCCGCCCCTTGACCCCTCACCTTTGCCCCCTTAGTACCCAAACTGACCCTTGTCCTTCCCCCGAGGCCCACCCACGACACGAAGCCCTTCCCCGGCCCCTCGCAGCAATGGCGTCCTCCCACCCCAGCCCATGACAACCCTTCACCTCACGCAGCAGCAGGATCCCCGCCACCGACAAAAGCGGCGGCGACGAAGGCTTTGGCCCAGTGAGACGGTGGCTTTTTCCTCCCCCTTCAGGTTTCGCCCAAAAACAGATGAAAGAAGCTTAAAAGCAACCAGCAGCAGCGGGGAAACAAGTGAGGAGAGCCCAAAATCAGCCATAACCACGCCGTGGTCTTTGTCAAGCTCCACATCCTTTTCCAGACCCGTTTCATTCCTTTATTGCCTGAACCAAAGAGCAAACGGCTGAAGGACACGCTTTTATTGTAAATTCCAAAAGAAATCACTATAAATTACATAAAGGATGAACAATTGTGGCACCTTGGCTCAGCCTGGTATAAATTGAACCTACTTACTGCAAGGGAGGGAGCAATCCTTCAACTCCAGCAAGGTTCGATCAATGGAGCTTGAAAGAAAAGAGAAAAGATGTGGAAGAAGGAGAAAAAGCTTCTCTTCCAGTGGGAGAACCAGGAAAACTCCTGGAACAGCAACGGCTCATCATGGAAGAGGGGAGCAGTGGTAGAGTTAAGACCATCAGGTCAATGTTTCTTCTTCAGAAGATAAAAACAGGGTGAGGACGTTAACACTGCTCCCCCAAAATATCCCCATTTTGTGGCTCAGCCATGCCTGTTGCTTACTGAGGGATTTTTTTTTTTTCTGCTTTTTAAATTTTAATCCATTTAAAACCCAAGAAATTCCACAGTTTGAGTTGTGCAAGGAACAACCTCCTTTTGTTTGCGCTGTGCCACTTGGTGATTTCATTTGATGTTCTGTTTGCAGCCGTGATGGAGAAGTTGGAGCAGGAGCAGAAGTGTTGCGAGATAAGTTTGAGGGGGGGAAATAAAAGCTCCAAGAGCAGAGAGGGGTTTATTCCATCCCTCTCAGATGCCAGAACAGCACAGAGGCTGATAATGGATTTTTAACAGAATTCAGATAAATCCCAGGGAATACAGAGCCTGATGAAGAGAACCCAAATTATTTTAGACAGAAGGGCTGAACAAACACCTGAACTGCTTCTGTAGGAGGTGGAAAATGGATTGGTGGTGCCTAAAGAAAATCTTTACCTGCTAACTCTGGAAATTAGCACAGGAGCCAGGTATTAAGAGCCAAGATAAATTGATTTCCTGATTTGAGAAGGAAATCGGGAGAATTTAAGGTTTGTGTTAATAACAAATGGCCATGTCAGCATGTTGATTGGAGACTTACAGAATCCTACTACCATTATTTCCATACCTTAGGGAAATACTACTTATGGATTACATCTGGATTTCTAGCCTGGAAACATTCAGACTGCAAAACGATGCTCTGGGTGATATATTCTTGAAAGAAGTCCTCAATCTAATACCATTTAAAGTCTTGTTCATGTGTTTCTCATCTAAAATAATAAAAATAAATTAACATGAAGCTGTTGGCAACTTCACAGTCAGAGTAAGGAGTTAAATGGGTGCCGCCCTGCTGTATTATCAGTACATTTCTATATGTAATGCCACAGAAACAAGTTCTACCAGCCATCTTTAACTGCTGATGACCGATAAGACACCCCAGCAAGCTTAAGCGCCTCGGAACTCCTCGCTGCAAGATGCTCCCTACAGCGCTGGGAGACCTCGGAAGGAAGCAGAGGTACAAGGCCGGGCACATTCACAGGAAATCCTGCTGGGAGATGGGCTGTCTGCTCCAAAACACCCCAAAACTCGCCTCAAAACCTCCTGCAATTTCTTTCCCTGGATTTTTCCTGCAATCTCCTCCCCAGATCCTTCTTGTTTAGGTGCTACAAAAGTACCACTTTAGAGGAGAGAAGCAGATTGCGCTAGGCACAGGGGTGATCAGGCAGGATTTATAGAGCGGTGCAAGTGATTATAATTATTGTAATTAACTAAAATGATAAAATACCCAAAAAGCAGAAACTGAAATCTGGGCTGAACAATCAGAAAATAAAAGTTAAACCTGCTACCACCGCCGAGCCAGGGCCACTGCCGAGGGTATCACAGTAGCTGTAGCAGACATAAGGGCATTCTGTGTTAAAAACCCCCACCCACTCTTATTTATGGTGAGGTGCATAAATTCGAATTGTGGCACTTAACTGCATGTTCTCCAACAAATCAACACAGGATAGGGCTAGAAGACCTATGAAGCATGGAGGGAAGCAAGCGAAATCAATAATTTGGCTCACCTTTCCTTGAGGAAAAGCGGCAGCATCCAAAAACCATCATGACAGGTAAATCGAACTATCGGCCAGATGTATAGCACCTCTATCCTAAAGCCTGTCCCTCATAGCAGCCAGCACACAGGAGGAGCTGTGGTGAACTCTACACGATCGCTTACTCATCAGCAATTTTAAGAGGTAGTTCGTTCAGGGAAAGCATTTACAGGGAAGTTGACGCAGGAGGATTTTAGCACCCGCTGACTTCTCTGAGCCCTACCCAGCCAGTTTCTGCTTCCTTGCCTCTCCTCTTCTCTGCTCACGTGCTCCGAGTCCATGACATCTCTAGGGACGAGGTGCTTGGATGTTCCTGCGGATCATGGGCAGACTGAGGTCCATCCTGCTAGGCTTTGAGCAGTCCAAGGGGGTTTTAGTTAGCACGACTAATTAATTGTTGTCAGATGTTTGGAGTTTACTGCTTGCATCCTAGAGGAGCGCAGAGCCATGAAAACCTTAATGCTACATGTACGAGCACTAAGCATTTCCTACGCAGCCTATCTATATCTGCACTTAATTCAAGGATTTTGACTCAGAAGCCAAACCCACAGCAATATTTAGTGTATAAGGACCCAGTTACGTTGCAACCGTAAAGACCCAAACACTCCTGAGAAACTGGATGAGCCCCGACCTCATCAATATGGCAGCACAGATGGCAATCTGGGCTCAGAACCTCCTCGCACGCACCAGCTGCCTCTTGAGACGGACTCGCTCCTTGGCCAGACCTTTGAAAGGGAACACAAAGCTCAGAGTCCAAGGGAGGGGCTGTTGTCCAATTAATCCCTCACCAGAAGGTAGAAAGCTCAGCAGAACGGCACAGGGGAGTGTCTGAAATGCACAACTTGCCCGTTAAGCGACCTGAAAGGCAGTTGTTGAAAGGATAAAATTTACCTCTACAAGGGGAAGCTGGATTCTGCTATGAGGAGGCAAGATGTTCCTTCCAACCTGAAGGTCAGGAACACTGAGGTAACCTCACTCAGGCTGTGCCACAGTTACCCAAGAAGGGAATTAATTACAAATTGTTCTTTCATGCTGACAGCTGATTTTCTCTCCCTTTGTTGATAATCAGGGTGGAAAAAATAAAACCAAACAAACCAACAATAGGTAGAAGATAACCAGTGCAGCAAGCAGCCCGAACTCCACTCACTGTTCCCTGCTGGAAGTTCTGCAGATGTTTTGATTGATGCCAACGCTTCTGGAGTGGGTGAAAGGGAACAGGAGGAGGTGCTGACCTTGCTGACCAGGAGGTGAAGAGTCATCTCCTGAAAAACCAGCTGGGAAGCACCGTGTTTAACACACAACCTGCAGCCCGCAGCGGTGCCTCTTCTCAAAATTCGTTTCTCAAGCCAGAATAATAGTACGTTAGAGAAATAGGGACAGCAGAAAGGGGAAAGTAAGGAAATAAAGCAGAAAGGGGAAGGTATAAGGAAGGTGTAACTCGTTGTATTACAAATAAAGGTGGGGTTTGTCTGTTTTTAAAAACAACATCTGGCTCACAGAGATCTCACCATTTTCAGGACCCAATATTTAAGGTTACAGGCAGCCTACCCCGATTAAAGAATCAATTATCTTAAGTAAACCTTAAATCAAAGGTATTTCCCAATAATGCTTTCTGAAACTCCACCCCAATTAAAACGCAGTAAAAACGCAAGCAGAGCACAGGTCTTAACACTTCAACGAAGCCAAGCTCAGTTGTTTTCATCAGCTAAGTAAATCTAGATCAGAGGGTTTCTACAGAGAAAAGCAGGAAGAAACCTGGAAATCACCACAAAACTCTGCTGAGTAAGGAGGAAAAGCCAGCAGCTGTAAAAAGGAGGCGACAGAATTGAGACTCTTTTCTTGGCACAGGCTAAATTTGAACAGATGAAGGTGGCTAGCTGAATGCCCGTCTGCCTTCAAAGCAAAAATGTGTGAAGATTACGCTTCCGAGGCATCCCCTTCTCCTGTTTTACAGCCTTCAAAATTATCCCCCAGTGCCACCAGTGCCTTCCAAGACACCCCGTTCATTCCCGCAGCATGCAAACGGCACTCAGCGGTAATTACGCCACTGAGCTCAAACACGCATCGAAGAGAGATCTGGGGGATCAGGCTCAATATGCTAAAACACCTCAAAACTGCTAGATGTCCGATTAAACCCATGCAAGAGGTGGAAGCAAGTAGCAGCCAACTCCCTTGACACCCAACAGCTCCCAGGGTCAACCTCGGGATCAAGCCATACCCGCACAAGAGGGAATGAGCCAAATTCCTTCCAACCCCGATGAGGTATTTAGTGACTCAGGCTATTAATTATGTTTGGAAAAGAATCTTCCAGGACTAGTCTGAGATGTCTGTCTGCAGGAGGTGGGTTCACTGCTCAGGAAGCCAAGTGGGCAATACCAGGATAAACAGTTCAGGACTTGAGCTCGGTGTTTTCACGGGTAATAAATCTCCCTGGCATGGAGCAGGTGAAACGTTCCCTCTCATGGAGCTCATCTCATCCATCTTGCAATCCCATTAGCTCGCAGACGACTTCACGGGCACAACTGAAGCATCCGGCAGTCGCTGCCACCAGGGACCCGTGCTGGAGGAAAGGGGTTTGAGGTCGGGAGCAGTCTCGGCACTTTGTCTTCATATTAATGCTTAAACCTCCCTTTCTCCGCATTGCTGGGGAAAACTTCTCTCGTACAAACAATTTGCACCAAGTTGGAAGTTTGTAAGACTGGATTTGGCGTCACGCTGGCGATTCAAGGCTAAGCACGTCCTCATCTGTCAACCCATCCAGCAGGAAAGCTCCCAGCCACTCCTCTGTAGCAGGAATAACCTCTGCGGTGTCATGGAAACTAATTTCTTTACTTCTCCCTCATTTCAGGAAGGAGAATCCGTACTCCAGGTGATGATTAACCAATGACAGCTTCAACCAAGTGTTTACTGCTAACACAGGTTAAGTCGGCTCCATCTGCAGTGCTGAATGAAGAGAGGAAAGCTGAGCTGAACCCAAATCCTGAACCAGAACATGGAGACGCAGGCTTTGTAGACCAGTTCTAAGCCTCCAACCTCTCGCAAGCTTTACCAGGGCACCAGAAATTAAGGCAGAGTCACAGGTAATCTCAGGATAGTCCTTTTATCTCCACCCACCAAAACATTCACCTTTAAAATGAAAGCATTTTACAAACAATACAATGTCGACACCACTTAGTTTCGCTCCGCATTAAAAGGAAGAATAAAACATCAGGGGGGAATATTACAGTCACATGGAAGTTACGCAGAACCTTAACGGCGTACACTGCAGAAATTAAAACCCCGGAACCAAATTTCTGATGTTTCCAGACAGGCTAAGGGAACAAACCACATCTTTGTTAAATATAGAAAAGTTTAAATTCAGGGGGAAGAGAAGAGGTTTTGTTTGCCAGATTGTGAAGTAGCACTGGTTTGCACACATGCTCAAAAGGAAATTCTCCTAGTACAAAGCCATCTAAAAAACAGAGAACGCACAAAACCTAGCTACTAAAATGAAGATCTGGGTAAAAAAAATTCCTCTATTTTCCCAAAAAATCACTTTACAGGTAAAGGCTTCCACTGCCTAAGTGAGTTTAGTAGAATGAGAACTCAAAACACGTTATGAAATTCACAGATACAGTTATGTTTAAAAAAAAAATCACAACAAAATACGTCAGGTCTTTTACACATCAGCTTCCCCCTCCAGAGTTTACTCCGCATCCTCATCCTCTTGTGCTGCAGCAGCTTCCTCACTTTCTTCCTCCTCATCTTCTACTTCCACGCCTTCTACTGGCTGTTGCTCTTCTTCCTCAGGGAGAGATTCCTCTGCAGGTGGGGAAGTCTGCTCCTCCGTGTTTTCTGCATCCGGCTCCACCTCTGTTTGTGCTTGTGCCTCGATTTCTGTCTCTGTCCCTGTTTCTTCTTGCTCCCCCTCATTTTCAGCACCTTCTGCTTCTGGGTTCTCTTCAGGATCCTTGTTTTCCTCATCTAGATTTTCCTCCTCCGGATTTTCTTCTGGATTTTCCTCTTCCAGATTTTCCTCTTCTGGATTTTCCTCCTCTGGATTTTCTTCTTCTGGATTTTCCTCCTCATCTTTGTTTCCATCTGCTCCTTCTGCTGTTCCTTCCTCTGCATTTCCACTGGCTCCCCCTTCTCCTTCCTCATGCTCTTCTTTTTCTTCTGGGTCATCCGTGAAAGGATTCTCACCCTGAAAACAGAAGACAAACATTCATCTGCTGTGAGTTTATCTCTGGCTGCTTCGAGGAATTCACACCGGCTACGTGCCAGCAAACCCTCCCAGTAATTTTAGAGTAATGGTTGCACTGAAAGCAGTCAAGTGAGCAGCTCCTGAAAGCAGATGCTGCCTCGAGAATTCAAATCAACACTAATATTAGCAGCAACAGCGCAACGGTCAGGCCTGTGGCCAAAGTTTAAGCTGGAGGCCTTGCTCATCCTGCTCGCTCAGGGTTCAGTGTAACATGTGAGGCAGAAGATGACAGATGAAGTCATCTGCACTGTTGAGACTCGATGACCAGCAACCAGGAATCCGACATATTATCAAAAAAACTCCCCAAATCACCTCAAGGTTCAGCTAATAAGCACCTTCATAAGTCGACAGCAGCTACCGTGAAATTCCTACAGCACGGAAGCCTTGCTATCAGCTTGACCCCATGCCAAGCTGCTCCGCAAATACCTACCTTCAGGTACCGCTCCAGTTTCTTACTGATTAGTTTGTTGTTGAGAATACTCCTTGCAACTACTAGCGACGATTTCTTGGACTGCTCCATCATAGCCTGTACGGGAGGACAAAAAACTGCACTTAGACTTTGTTCTTAATTAACTCACGAGGCCAATCATTAGGCACAGCTCAGTGGCGGACAACAGGCTACAGAGCACACTTTGGTATTTGGGTAGGTGGCAACACAGCAATATTTAAGAAATCTGCTATTTTCTGCACATTCCCTAAATTCTGTGCTTCAGAAAGGTGAGTATCAGGCAGCCAAGGAAAAGCCACGTGGGTTGTTTCACACACTTCTACCAGCAGGATCGTTTCATCTTTCAGTCTGAAATTTTGAATTTTGATTTTGCTGAGGTATGGGGAGCAAAGGACGGCTGAACAGCTGAGCGCTGCAGATGGTAATGCAGCCTGCTCAACATCGCCACAGTAACGCGTCAAGATTTACAGTTGTGTGCCGATAGATGTATCTTAAAGAGCTGTCGTCTGACAGCCATCACCTCGGATCACTGCTCGTGGGTATAGTAAAGCTTGTAACAACATCATCCTACATGTACGTGGAAGTGGGGGAGTCAGAAAGCTGTTTATTTTGCAAGAAATGGGGCAAGAGACACAAGATCTTGTTTTCAGATCAGCACGAGGCTTTGCCAAAGGTGTTATAATCCCGCTAACATCTTGCTTGCCAGCTTTTGCAAAGGGAAAGTTTCTGGGGACACAAGAACATCAAAATTAACTGCAGACTGTCGAGAGAAGCACTGAAGAGGATGAAGACAAGTTCTCCCTGGTTTCAGGAACCACATGAACTAAACCCATCCAAATTCATGCTCCTGTTACTGCAGCTGAAGCCTGCAAGACCCGTGAGGCACCAGGCTGCCCACTCACCCTGCGGTTGTGGTTGTGGTCAAGCGACTTCAAGTGTTTCTGGATGATGCCATACTGCATTGGGATGAAGAGGTCACACGCAGCACAGTGAGCCGCCTCCACCTTCTTAATAAAATGCTCCATACCAACATCTGAAAAGGAAGATAAGAACGGTATTAAGTAGAAAATAATCTAGGGATTTGTGCTGTGTTCCAGATTTTACTCCAGCCTGCATTTAGAAACTCAGGTTTTAACCACCACAAACTCGGTTTTAACCACCACAAACTCGGTTTTAACCCTTCCACTGGCATCAAAACAGTCTTCCCAGGGAGCAGGAGAGGAGCCAAGCGGAGCGTGTGTTATATACAGCCAGGTTAACAGAATACCGCTGGCCCAGATACAAGCCTGGCTGCATGCCACAACAATGAGTGACGCGAGCTGCAGCTGCATCAGCACTGCAGGTTTGCAAGAAAAAAAAAATCTCTTCAGCCAGCTAATCATTTAGCTGGTGTCCACAAAGCCAGCTAATAACCTGAAGTGCCTGACGGTGCACTTGAGCAGACAGTAGGTTTTACTCTTCAGCAACACCAGCAGGTTCTTCCCCTCCCGCTTTTTACTACTTTTTACTGTTTTGCTATTTATAGAGTTGACGAGGCAGCCAATACGTTTGACAAAGGAACTCTCGCACGCACACAGGTAGGACCTCTTACCTTGCGTAAGATCTTGGTCCCTGTAAATCTGCTGAATAACCGCGTTAATGTCTTCAATTGCTTTACGACGCTCTTCAGTTTTCCTAGTTTTATTAGCGACATATTCCTGTACGGCAGAATATATCATATTAATCTTTTCCCCCACCACCACTTTTAGGTGCACCTCTCTAGCGTGCTCATCCTAAAGATCCTACAAATCCCACCACACGTTGTCCTGCAGGTAGCACTGCCTTTCAGCACTTAAGTCACCCATTCCGGCCACCAAAATCCATGGTGGGCAAGTACTTTATTTCCTACCAGTCCAACCAGTAAAACCAGAGGTTAAATGACCTCTTCAAAAGAAGAGGGCAGTCAAGGCAGAGCTCTGATGCTTTAGCCCAACTTTACTCCACCTTCTCTAGTGGTTTCCACAACAGTTACTTAGAGAGGCAGTTCAGGAGCTTTACAGCATCTCCAAAATCATAAATAATAATAATAATACAACCCCAAACTCTGAAACCCAGAGGACAGAAACATAACCAGAGGCTCACCTGGAGAAAGTCAGCTGTTTGTTGAGGCAACTTGGTGCCGACAAACTTGAAGTGTTCCTTATGGAATTTACTCTCAAGGTGACTGTTCATCTCGTCATCATAGAAGGTCCGATATTTGCATAACGAACAAACAAACTGGATCCTGTTGAGAGAGTCCGAGGCGAAGGGAAGTGATATTCAAACCAGTCCATTCCAGCTCTACAGGGCACTGCTTTCTCACTGGATCTACTCCCTCACTATGTTTAAGGGGTGGCAGATAAACTCATGAAGTCTCCAACCCTTTAAACATTTACAGGATGTTTCCCAGAGGCTTTCCCATTTCTATTTATCTTTTAAGCATGGATGGCAAGAAGACTAGCAGGAGAGCAAAGCAGTTTCTACAAGGAACAGACAAAACACTGGAACAACTGGAAACAAAAGGATGGACCCTGGCTGCAAGTACTATGGTCCCAGAGAAGAAAGCGACATCACTAAAAAAAACCAAAATAAAATAGGAGATGTTACCTTTCTACCATGCGATCCCGATGCCTCTTCTTTTGTCTCTCTTGAGTTTTCTTGCCCGCCTGCAATTTGCGTTTGATTTGACTGATCTCTTCTTGAATTGTTAAAGCACCTAAGTGTTTAAAGCAGGTTGTATTTCAGGGCACTACTTGAGGACACCACCTGATTAAAGAGAATTTCCCTAGACAAGTTTAGTCGTCAGCCCGACCAACCCACACAATCGAGAAACACCGTAGAGTCGAGAAGCTGCTCCCACCAGCCAACTACAGATAAACCTCTGGTTTATACAACAGTGCTGCCCCCCCACCCCCCCCAATTAGCTTTTTCCAAAAAAAAGCTGCACTGGGACAAGCTTGGCAGGTGGGGGGCAGAGGGGAGAACCACAGCAGAAAGATTCCAACGTGGTTTCCCAGCCCTTTATTTTAATTACTGTTTGCTACTACTAGTTTTATGAGATTTTAAGTATTAATTAGTTACAGGATTTTTTTTTTTTTTTTTTAGTACCACCTGCTCAGATTTGTTCAGCCCCAAAGTGAACACTGGCAATGCAATAAAGCTTGGGTAAGGGGGATGAATTTACACCACTTTGGGGACAGAAAAGCTGCTTCTCTGTCCGCCCGCCCTGGCATACGCATGGGCACGTCCCAGGCTCAAATTTACGCTGCCCACTGGCAGGACGGGCGGCAAGGACCCCCCCACGCATCTTGCCAGGAGGTTTCCTTCCAGCCCTCCTGCTTCTCTCAGCTCCCTTTGGGTATCGCAGTGCTTCTCCGACCGGCCCTGTCTCTCCAAGCCAGGAAGCTCCATCCCGTTTCACAGCCCAAACAACTTAACCAAAGTCAAGTCTAGGGCACAGCGGGAAATTAAATCTGGTTCCCTAAGCCCCAGGCTAGCAGCTTCACCAACCTACCTTGACCAAGGGATCCAGCTCCTCCCTAGCAGGGCTTTTACAGCACTTCCTTATCCCTGAGCAGACACAAAGGATGGGATTCATCTGACTAAATGCAGACATTACAGCTGAGCTAGTCCCCTGTCCCCCCGTCAGCGGAGATCTGACAGGTCTCATCCTGAAGAGCAAATGAATTGGTGCCCTGGGAAGGGCCCTCCCCGTATTTCTCCGCCTGGCTATGGCGTTGCAATCCCACCAGAGCCTCACACACAAGAGCCTTGACTGCTCTCGCTCGTAGGACCCCACCTCTGATGGCTATCGCAGCACCAGACCAGCGTCCCCAGGGGACTTGTGGACACGCGCAGAAGCCAAATTGCCCTTCAGCGAGAAGGTGCAGAGGTTTAGCTCAGGTCACCAAGACGCAACGGACCAGAAGGGACAGCGAAGCCACAAGGCAAATGGACTCTTAAGAACCGAAGGAGCCTAAATAAACCCATCGGATTTAATTGGAAATATCTCTTCTGGCCAGGTCGGAGCACTCGACTGGAGGGGGGTTGTGCTCTGCGCAGAGCTTCGGAGCGCAAACGAGCCGTCGTGCACACCAACTCACCTTTCTCTGAATCTTTTCCTTCTTCATCTTCCCCTTCCTAAAAATGCAACGTTGCAAAGTTAAAACCGTCTAGCAAAAGCGAACGTCTGGAGGCTGGTTTGACACCTTCACCAGCCTGCTGCCTCTCAAACCCTCCCCAGGCACTCAAAGCACCGCACGGAGAAGCGACATCTCCATCGGATCTGGCTGCTCCACGCTCCCTTAGTGCGGGGAAATCCAGCATAGCACCTGCTTGCTCGGCAGGAGATGTTTCTACAACACCTGCAGGTCTTATACGCGAGAGACCTCCCCCCACCAAGCTGAAGGGCACCGGCAGACGGGTGCCGTCAGTCCCCATCTAGAGCGAGGCAACATAATCCCACACTTGCGGATTCTCCACGTTGCAGGCAATTGATTTGGGGGTTTTCCTTACTTAAAGCTCTTTGTGTACGGGTGTTTTACTGCGTTTTGACACCGTAAAGTGTCTTGCAGTGATGTTGCGGCTGGTGGCTGTAGCTGGGAAGCCCCCGTAATGTCCATGTGTCCCTTGGTGGAGCATTTTGCTTCCATCCACTCCCCCCAACTTGTCCAAGCCTCCACCACCTGGCTTGGTGTGGGAGTAACATGGGAGTCCAGGATTATCCCCTCACCAACCAGAACTACAGCTTTTAATCACAATAAAGTAGTTTCCAAGAGTAACTTACACCTCTGGAGCCCTCCTTCTCCTCTTTTTCTCCTGATTCTCCTTCTGTTCCCTCCTCTGAAAGAAACAGCACAGTCAGCATAAAGAGAGGTTACCCAGATCAACACCAACAATTTTGCCACCACGTTAAACGTGTGGCAAAGCACGACAGCTCTGCCGAAAATAAAGACAGTGGCAGCTTTATATCGCTCCCGAGCATGTCGCAAAGCTGCTCCACTCTTACCGTTGTCAGAGTCGGAGTTATCGGAGCCGTCTGTCTTTGCTGCCTTGCTGTCGGGTTCATCGGAGCTGTTTGTTTGCTTCCGCTTCTTCGCGGTGGGATCTTTTTTGATTTTCTTTTTCTGGGGCTGCGAGAGAAAAGAAAGGTTAATCCCTGCAACACAAGCAGGTGCCCTCTGCAGCCAGCAATGTCTTATTTTACTCATTTTTAGTGAGTTAAGCTTCCTGCATTGAGTTTCTGACAGGCAGAGTTGATCAGGAAGGACATAATCCACCACACCTCTATCCCGTAATATAGAAGATTAAGCCATGAAGGGCTGCAATATTCTCCTACCCTCAGAAAACAAAGTTTTTAGGATTAAAACATCTCATGTATCAATACTGCTCTCCTCCTCAGTTTGCTTAGGAGAAAACATACTACCGAGCCAGTAACATGCAGAATTATACATTATCGCTTCCCAGAGAGTATTTTGGAGCCCTTTGCTACAGGACATGTGGGTCTGTTGGGAAATAAAGTCTCTCATTCGAGCCAAGCAGGTGGGAGGATATCGCACAAGTACTTACTTTAAAATCCGAGTCCCACATTTTCCAGTTTCTCCTCATCCGTTGTTTCATCATTCCTCCTCCGTAACGCATATTTCCCGAGAAACCTCGCATTCCCTGGAACATGCTGAGTTCTGGGATAATGTTGTGGGAGAAGAGGGAAGGAAGCCTGGAGGATCCGTGGGGACCGAGACCTCGCGATCCCATTGATTGCGGAGGCTCGTTCCACTGTCCGCCCATGCGCCCAGGATAGGAAGACGCCATGGGTCTGTTATTGCGTCCGTCTCTACCCCAGTTCTGACCCCGTTGACCAAAGTTATCCCGTGCTCTGTTCTGGTATTGATCCCGGCGGTTCCCATAGAAGTTGTCATAGTGACCTTCATAGGCGTTATCGTTGTCGTGTTCAGACTCGTTGTAATCGTAGCTAGATCGGTACATGTCACGGTCATTCATCGAAGACCTCGAGTCGTAGGATTCGTACGAGTCGTACCTGCAAGAGATGCGTCAGTGAGACACCACTGAGAAACGGTAGCAGAGGTGAAGCAAACAAAACCCTTCCAAACAGATTTTTAAGTTTATTTTTCAATCAGCAGATGTGTCACTCAACATGGGACATATTTCACTGCGGAGCGGGACAAGACATGGACCAGCAGGAGCTGGTGACAGAGCTTCAAGGTTTCAGTCCCGCTGGTGGAAGAACCAGAGACCTTTAGACACAGGAAAACCCTGATGCCAGGGAGCCCCTTGAACCATCTGTTTCTTCCAGAATTACCAGAATATTTTAAATGAATAAAAAAAACCAAGCACATTGAGCAAAGGTTCCTTCACCAGCTGAGGTGGGGGCTTATCACTTTGTCCCCACTCCCAAATACTGGGCTCAAAAAGAACTTTAGGAGCAGCTGAAGAGAACCAAGAGCTGCTCATTGTCACAGCAAGTTTCACCTTATCCAGAAATACTTCCCGGAACACTGAGATTTGCTACTCAAGGAACACCTTGGCACAATCAAAGACCTATTCCAGATCCACCCTTCCTCACTCCCCATATGCAATCCATCCATTAACGACCTGTTGTCCCCAGCTGGAAAGCCAACATATGCCCCACCTATTTTAAAACCTTTTTTCCTCCTAAAAATGAGGCCACAGAGGATTTTTAGCTTTACATTCTGCAATACTAAAATGCTTCGTACTGGAATTTAAGGCTTTGTGTGCTTGCCAGCAGCACTCTGACCAACAAGGCAGGCGAGGAAGAAACCTGCTGCATGAGAAAAGATTGTGATGCTGAACTAACGAGCCTCGTCAAAGCATGACCTCCTTGCCACTGCACTTTACAGCAAGGCCTTGAAACCACAGAGATCAGAATCAGCAGGGGGAAAAAATGTTATCATGGCTCCAAGGTCAGAAGAAAGTCACCCCGCTGATAAAAGGAGAGATGTTGGGGCTACAAAATCAGACCAGGCACCAATGGAGGAACTGCCAGTGTCCGATTACACGTAAGCCAGAGCAGCTGGAGGGTGAGCAGCTCCTTTTCTGCTCCGTTATAGCCCAGAGCTGATATTCTCCAAGTGATTTATCTTTCCCTTACTGTGTTTCTCATTATTTCCTGCACAGAGCAAGAAATTTTTAGCTTTTTAATAAAACCTATCCCATCCCAACTGGTGCGGCAGTGCCAAGTCAGTGGAAACACGCCGCCGGCAGGAGCATGCCTGCAAGCAGGCGACCGCTGGTGCACGAGATCGAAGTGGAGAAGCCCAAAATGATGTCTGAAGGGACAAGAGTCCAGGGAATGATTTGGCAAACCCTTTCCAGCACAGTTAAACCGAGCAAGTGACCAAAACAAATCAATTTGATATAGTAGTACGGACGTATCATTTCTTAAGAGAGTTACTGTTTTGGAATTGTAAGAGTGGAGTAGAAGACAGTCACTTCACATTTATTAATATTTACTCCTGAATTTTACTTTGTCTAACATAGCTTTACTTATTTAAGGCATTAAAAACCTGGAGTAAGTAGTCGCCCTGCAGAAATACCAAGTCCTCGCTCAAAACTCACAGTGTGTGTTAGTAAGTAAGAAGTCTTTAGGGAAAGAATCCTATTTATTAGTACTTAAACATTAACACAGATCAGCAAGGAGCTGACTACATCGTAGAGCTGAGCATCTACTGCGACACTGGCTACAAAAACCTCACTGCAGCAGCAGAGGTTAATCTATTAATCAAAATTAGTAATTTAAATTCAGATTTAAGCATGAAATAGTGCCTTATTTTCCTTAGCACTGCTCTAGAAGTACATAAGCAAGCTCGTGAGAACATTGCTTATAATTATCATTTCACTGAAGAACCCAAATTTCAGCCACTGCTGGAAAAGCTGCACTGTAAGCCCCAAATGTGGAATTTTTTTGCCAGACACGGATGAAAACTTAGTATAAAATCCTATTTTACAGTTACAGCAGGCGAGAGGAGGATGGCTGAGCCAGCTATGGACGCTCACTTGAGTCACAACACCAGAAAAGGTAAGAATGAGACCAGCAAGGAACAAACGGAGCAGCAACGACTCTTAACGAGCAGCAGATCGTTACAGCATCTCCTCGCCTCGTGCCCTGCACTCACCTGTCTCCACCAGATCCGTAGTGCCCTCCTTGCATCGTGTCCGTATCCATGTGCGACACCATGTCTAAGCGCTGGTTCATTTTCGCAATGACGGCGTCAGCGTTGCTGCCGCCCGAACCGTCGGGGTTCATGTCAACGTCCGAATTGGCCATTTCCCAGGAGTTCGAAGTGGCCATGCCATATCCGTAATTACCCGAGTTATCCTGGCCGTATCCATAGCCGTAACTGTATCCCTCATAACCTGGAACAACAAAAATAAGACCTGGATTTATTTCCAGTTATCCAGGTTCGCAAATATTTTAATTTGAATTAAGATGCCCCAAGCAAGCATCACAGGGAGTTAAAAAAAAAACGAACAAACAAAAAAAACCAACTCAACTTTCTATCTAAGTCACCTATAAACTTTGAACTGTTGAGCTCATAAAGGTTTAAGGGAACAATTTGCTTGCCCAAGTCCCATAAAACACAGCCACAGCCTATAGCTTCCTCCGTCTAACCTGCTCAGGAGAGGAATAAACATGACCAAGGCAGAGCCTCCATAAAAACCTGTTTTGAGGTAACACAGAGAACGCGAAGAACCATTTTAAGCCGGTTTTTAGTTTGATACAAAGCTGTTGGTAGCCAGACGAATGCAGCTAGGACATACCTTTGCCAGAACCTATTAAACTGCTTTATAACCCCTTAAATCCAAAAGGATGACGCTATAGCGCGTACCTGCCCTCGCCAAAGACAGTACAGCCGAGCACTGAAAGCAAAAACACTTTCGGCCTAGCGTTTTCCAAACATTTTCTATCAGAAAGCGACAGAGAGACTTCTCCTCTTGCTAAAGAAGCCAAAACTGTTATAAACCAAAAAAAAACCCCAGTGTAAGAATAACACACAAAGCCAATTAAAAGCCTGTTGAGGCTTAAAATTTAGGTTTTTCTTTCCCCGGCCCTTTTGTTTGGCTGCTGGCATGCGTGGAGAGGGAGTTTGTATTTCTGCTGTCTCCCCAAACCTCGATTTACATCATCACCTACACTGACTTCATTCAGGTTTTCCAAGTGGCAGAAAGGGGTTTTTTTGGGGGGTGGAAAACAACCCCCAAACCCAAATATTCCGCCTAGAACAGTTTTCCTGTGCAACCAGGAACAGCAACAAAGTTCTCTGTTGGCTTCAACGTGGATTTTTAAAATAAAGAAGAAAAATGTCACAGAGGTGGAACAGTAAGAGACTACACGGGGTCTGTGCTGCGGCGGGGACGGCGCTTGTTCATCACCGACCTCGGCGCGTCTCCCTCAGGCTCAGGAAACAGATCTGAAGTGGAAGGTAATAAACCATTACTCCAGTTTTTACTGTACTTGCCTCTGTTCGTCCCAGAGTTCCAGTCTCCATAACCTAGAAAAGGGCAAAAAGCAATTAGAGACGAGTTGATTGTTAGAGTGGCAGTTGCGGCCGAAGACATTCTCATTACCCAGCGTCAAAATGGAGCCACGCCCCCAATAATCCACAAGTCTTGCACCAAATATTGAAGAAATCAGACCTTAACGTCGCCCCAGCAATGACGTCCCCACAAGAAGAACATCCTTTGCCCCTCTTACAGAAAATCCAGGGTTTAATTTCAAGCTGAGCTCTTGGTAACGATTTCCACGACCAAGTATTTTGGGAGCGGAGGCGAAGCGTTTGAGAAAGCTAGAGGGGTCTCGCACAGAATAAACCCCGCTCCCATTAATGCCTAAAAAGAGAGGACCTGGGACACATCGGGAAGTTTTAATCCCATCGTTCGCCAACCTGCAGCCTCCCAGGACTGACATTCAGACGCCCTTTGAGGCAAAACGTATCTCGACGGCATCTCTGCACTTTGCCCTTGCAGGAAATCAGCTGGAAGATGGGAAGATACTGGGATGGAAAGACACGGTCTGGACACCGACATCCCGTGCTCCCCAGTCAAGAAACCGTTAGCCCAATGTTAATTTTCAAAGCAATTACACCCTCATTAACCAGGGTACGTATGCACACGGCTCTGCTTCGCACGAAGCTACACGCGTGCTGTGGGAAAGCAATGTTACCTTGTAGGTTGTCATTGTGATTTCCCCCTTAATTAGAAACTCCCCTTCCCAGAAGGCAGCTAATTTATTAATTTTCTTTTTCTTTTCCTCCCCCCCGGTGTCACCGTTACAACCTGAGCCACTTCCAGCCAAAACAGTTGACACTGAATAAAGCAGCAAATCGCTTCCTACACCCACCGTACTCCACAGGTGAGCAGAGATGCCGCTCTAGGAGCCAGCAGAGGTCTCAAAACGTCAAGATTAAAAGGAGAAAAAGGCAAAATTGCCACTAAATCAGGCGAGGAGAGTTACAGCCGTGACCTGAGCGAGGATGAGGAATTCCTGTCCAGCCACCACCACCAGGCAGAAATCAGAGGGAACCTCATTAAGCTTGATTAAAAAATAAATCAATTTTCTGTCAGAAGGAAGAGCCTGGCTCGCTCGCCTTCTCTGCCAGGGAGAGGCTGGCGGCTCCCCCTGCCCCCGGCCTGAGGGTACCCGGGGAGCACCGGACCGGAATCCCGGGGGTGAGAACCCGACGGGCCGAGGCGGCAGAACCAACCTCCCGGCCCTGAAGCCCCGCTGACAGGGGAACGGGACGAGGCCGGGCGAGGCGGCAGCGCCCGTCACCCCTCAAGGGGCCCGGTCGTCCCGCAGAGCTCCGGCCTCTCCCCGTCCCCGGCCTCACCACCACCCCCGAGACCCGGCGGGGACCGCGGCAGAGCCCTCGACCGCGTCCCGGTTCCCCGGCGGGGGCCGCCCCCGCCGCCATCTTGCGCCGCCGCCCCTCACCTGAGTAACTCATGATGGCGGCGCCGCCGCCCGCCGCCGCCTCCTCCTGCGCGAGACGGTAACGGCGGCGCGCGAGCCCCGCCCCCCCCGCCCCATTGGTCGCGCCGCTCCGCCTGCCCCGCTCTCATTGG